TTACTGAACATTCAAAGAAAAAATCTAATACCCATTCTCCTAAAACTATTCCAAAAAATCCAAGAAGACGGAACACTTCCAAACTCATTTTATGAGGCCAGCACAATCCTAATTCCAAAACCAGATAAAGACACTACAAAGAACAAAAACTACAGGCCAATATCCTTGATGAACACAGATGCCAAAATCCTTAACAAAATATTAGCAAATCGAATCCAGCAATACATCAAAAAAATTACTCGCCATGACCAAGTGGGTTTTATCCCAGGCATGGCAGGATGGTACGATATTCACAAATTAATAAATGTGATATACCACATATACAAAAGAAAAGATAAAAACCATACGATCATATCAATACATGCTGAAAAAGAATTCGACAAAATCCAGCACTAATTTCTGATAAAAACAGTCAGCAATGTAGGAATAGGGGATCATATCTTAATGTAATAAAGGCCATATATAAAAAACCTACAGCCAACATCATACTCAATGGGCAAAAACTAAAAGCATTCCCCTTAAGAACGGGAACAAGACAGGGATGCCCACTTTTGCCACTCTTATTTAACATAGTACTGAAAGTCTTAGCCACAGCACTTAGACATGAAGAAAAAATAAAGGGGATTCAAATTGGAAAGGAGGTAGTGAAACTGTCATTATTTGAAGATGATATGACATTGTACATAGAAAACCCTAAAGACTCCATCAAATATCTACTAGACTTAATAAATGAATTTGGCAGAGTAGCAGGATACAAAATCAATGTCAAGAAATCGACGGCATTCTTATACACCAATGATGAAATCACAGAAAGAGAAACTAAAAAACAATCCCATTTACCATCGCAGCAAAAAAAAAATTAAGATACCTAGGAATAAATTTAACCACAGAAGAAAAGGATCTCTTCACAGAAAACTACAGGTCATTGAAAAAAGAAATAGAGGAAGATATAAAAAAGTGGAAGCACATACCTTGTTCATGGATTGGAAGAATTAACATCATTAAAATGTCAGTACTACCCAAAGCAATCTATAAATTCAATGCAATACCCATCAAAATACCAACGACATACTTAACACAAGTAGAACAAACACTCCAAAAGCTTATATGGAACCAAAAAAGACCCCGAATAGCCACAGCAGTCTTGAAAAAGAAGAACAAAGTAGGAGGGATCACATTACCAGATTTCAGGTTATACTACAAAACCACTATAATAAAAAAAGCCTGGTACTGGCACAAGAATGGGCATACAGATCAATGAAACAGAATAGAGAACCCAGAAATTGATCCAAGACAGTATGCTCAATTAATATTTGACAGAGATGGCAAGAGCATACAGTGGATTCAAGACAGTCTTTTCAATAAATGGGGTTGGGAAAATTGAACAGCTACTTGCAAAAAAAAAATCTAGAACACCAACTTACACCATACATGAGAATAAACTCAAAATGAATAAAAGATGTAAATGTAACTAGTGAATCCATAAAAATTTTAGAAGAAAATGCAGACAACAAAATCTCAGACATCATGTGCAGCAGAATTTTCACTGATACAACACCTAAGGCAAGAGAAACAAAGAAAAAAATGAACACATGGGACTACATCAAACTAAAAATCTTCTGAACAGCAAAAGAAACAACCATCAAAACAGAAAGGGATCTCAGTATATGCGAGACCATAGTCACCAATGATGCATCAGATAAGGGGTTAATTTCCAAAATATATAGAGTGCTCATACAACTCAACAAAAGGAAGACAAAGAACCCAATTAAATATTGGGCAGAGGACCTAAATAGACACTTCTCCAAAGAGGGCATACAAATGGCCAAGAGACATATGAAGAAATGCTCAACATCACTAATCAGCAGAGAGATGCCAATTAAAACAACAATGAGGTATCACCTCACACCTGTCAGAATGGCCACCATCAACAAATCATCAAATAAGTGTTGGTGAGGGTGAGGAGAAAAGGGGACTCTAGTACACTGCTGGTGGGAATGCAGACTGGTGCAGCCACTATGGAAAACACTATGGTGTTACCTCAAAAAATTAAAAATTAAACTTCCATTTGATCCAGTGATCCCACTTCTAGGAATATACCCTAAGAAACATGAAACACTAATCAGAAAGTATATATGTACCCCCATGTTCATAGCAGCACTATTTACAATAGCTAAGATCTGGAAACAACCCAAGTGTCCATCAGTAGATGAGTGAATAAAAAAGCTGTGGTACATGTATACAATGGAATAATATGCAGCTGTAAAAAAGAAAGATCTCTTATCCTTTTTTTTTATCCTCACCCGAGGACATTTTTCCATTTTTTGTTCAGGTAGAGTGGGAGGGAGAGAAAGGAACAGAGAGAGAGAGAGAAACATCGATGTGAAAGGAACACATCGAGTGGTTGCCACTTGCACAACCGACCAGGGCCGGGGACAAACTGCAACCGAGGTACGCGCCCTTAGCAGGAACCGAACCCGGGTCTCTCAGGACGCAGGCCGACGCTCTAACCGCTGAGCCAAACCGGCCAGGGCAAGATCTCTTATCCTTTGAGATGGCATGGAAGGACCTGGAGAGTATTATGCTAAGCAAAACAAGCCAAGCAGAGAAAGACAAATATCACATGAGCTCACTTATTTGTGGAATGTATTGAACTAAACAAACTGATGAAAAAAATTAACCCAGAGACATAGAGGTGGGGTACAGACTGACAAGCCTTAGAGGAGGGGGGCTTGAGGGGCAAAAAGATAAACCACAGAACTTACAAGCATGTATGCATGACCAGTGAACATAGACAAAAAAGCTGGGGATAGGGCTGGGGGGAAGGGGAGGAGGGTGTTAATGGGGGGGAAATGAGAAACATCTGTAACAAAAACAAATTAATAAATAAAAAAATGAAAATAAAAAACAGAATAGGTACAGTTAACAAAGGAATTAGTAACTGGAAGATATACCTGAGAACCAAAAAGGTAGAAAATGTGAAAGAGGAGTTAAGAGGCATGAAGTTCCAATATATATCTAAAAAGATTTCCAGAAGGAGAAAATAGGGAAATGCAACATTCAAAGCAATTATAGCTGTGAACTTTTTATAATTATTGAAAGGCATAAATCATCATATCTGGGAAATAAAACAATAACCAAGCAGGAACAATGAAAAGAAATTCACACCTAGACACATCCTTGTTCTGTGTAACCATATACCTCAATAAAGATAGCTTAACAAATGAGAGCTGTAATTCGTGGTCCACACCAAATTTGTGATGTCCAGTATTACTGCAGACCTCTGTAATATCTAGTAATCCTATGAGTGGTCAGCTTCCTTCCAAAGCGTCAGCACTTCGCATTTATCCCCATCCACCTTGCTGTGCCTCCTAATTAACAGAGATAGTACAGTATGTGGTTTATTGGTGGAATCATCTCAATCGTCTAGTTGTATAACTTCTCTGCCTTCACATGAGCACTTATCTTCTCTCTCCTGTCTTCCTTCTTAGAGGAAAAACTGTTTCCTTTTCTAGCCTTTTCCTTAGTGACCTTTTTGTATATTTTCATTGTCTATTACCTACTTTCTCTCAGCATATAAACATCCCCAAATCTCTCTCGTTTTGATAAACACCAAAAAAAACCTCCCACTCCTCCCCATGTTGTGGAGATGAGACTGTCCTTGCAGAACTAGGCTCCTCCTCATGGAGTTTAAGCTCATTGTTACCGCCTTCTTACCTCTTATTGCTTTCTTTCTTTCTTTTTTTTTTTAATCCTCACCCAAGGACATTTTTCCATTTTTTGTTCAGATAGAGTGGGAGAGAGAGAGACAGAGAGAGGAAGAGAGAGAGAAAGAGAGAGAGAAACATCGACGTGAAAGGGACACATCGAGTGGCTGCCACCCGCACAACCAACCGGGGCTGGGGACAAACTGCAACCGAGGTACGCACCCTTAGCGGGAACCGAACCCGGGTCTCTTTGGACCGCAGGCCAACGCTCTAACCGCTGAGCCAAACCAGCCAGAGCTTATTGCTTTCTTGATGGCTCCTGCCACATAGCACAGCAGTCATTTATTATCTTGACATTGCCAAATCGGATCGTCATTTCTCAGTCTCATTCTATTTTGCTGTTCCCTCTTTCTGGAAAGTCTCTGTTTCTTGGCTTCCATTATAATTTTTTTAAAAATTTTATTTTAGAGAGAGAGGAAGGGAGAGGGAGAGGAACAGAAACATCGATGAGAGAGAACATCGATTGGCCGCCTCCTGCATGTCCCCCACTGGGGATCAGGCCCACGACCTGGGCATGTGCCCTGACCGGAATCGAATGGGTGACCTCTTGGTGTATGGGTCAATGCTCAACCACTGAGCCACACTGGCTTGGCTTGGCTTCCATGATAAACATTCTTGGCTTTTACAAGTTTTTCGTCAATCTTCTTCACCACTTAAATATTAATGATCTTTGAGAATGGTTTTCTTAGTCTGTTGCCTTCTTCCCTTCTAAAGTATCAGTGTTGCAGTCTTAGACATAATTTCAATTCCTACTCCTACTAATTAGTAGCTGAGAGACCTTGGGCACTTTTTTTTTTTACTTCTGTGAGCCCCGACTCTTTATAAATTGATGATGACAATGTCTGCTGCAAGTTGTGTTAGCATTAGATGAAACAGAGTATGTGTAAAGTGCTCTAGGTCAGTGACTGGCATATAATGAGTGCTCAATATATGGCATATTTTTTCTTTGTTGTCTTCTTGCTTCTCTTTTTACACATTAGAGTAGATGGGTATTAATAATATAATAAAGCTTGTTGAAAACAAGTCCAGCCAGTCAGAATACTGATTCTCCTAACATTGGTTATCTTTCTTAGAAAAACCAGACTGGTATGATAAATAATTTATTACCTAGGTGAAAATGCAGCTTTCGTATTGCTGAAGTAGGAGTGGATCATTAGAAGGGAAACTAATTTTCAATTGTATTCTTCAGTGTTTTGATATCGTGAAGTTGATTTTTACTGTTTATTATTTCAGAAATTTTGAAGAATCTGAAGATGAGTTGAGAAGCAAAGTAGTAGAATCCCTGGAAAAACTCACTACTTCCAAAGAGAAGGAAAAAAAAGAAGAGTCTTCCAGTTCCTCTAAGGACACTGAAAAGTTAGGAGAAGGGATAAGCATGCAGAAATATGTAGAATTGAATGGTGGTTTGGAGAATATTTCTATTCCATCTAAAGGCAAACTTTTTATTGTTGATGAAGACCAAGGAACATCAACAACCAGTCAAAATACACAAGTGTGATTATTGTACTTTTTCTTAAGCAGTAAGTTAGTATCTATTAACTGTAGTATCTTTTTGGGTACAAGTCATAAATACTCATTTATTATAAGGCTTTTCCAGTAATCCCAAGGATTTACTAATTTTTCTCTCTAAATTTAGACAACAGAACTAATTTTATTTTTTATTTTTATCCTCACCTGAGGACATTTTTGCATTTATCTTCAGACAGAGCAGGAGGAAGAGAGGGAGGAAGAGAAAGAGAGAAATATCGATGCGAGAGAGACACATCGACTGGTTGCCACTCACACACCCCAACTGGTACAGAGACAAACTGCAACCGAGGTATGTGCCCTTAGCGGAAACCAAACCCAGGCCTCTCTGGTCCACAGGCCGACGCTCTAACTGCTGAGCCAAACTGGCCAGGGCAAAACTAAAATTTGTGTGTAGAAATTAATATTTTGTTTAAAACCTCTATTAAGAAATCTTTCAGATAGTATATGTGATATGCATAGTAATGTGCCTCCTTCCTTCCCAAATGTGAATATATTATTTTAAATGCAAAGGGGAATTAAATTCGCAGATGGAATTGAGGTTGTTAATCAGCTGACCTTAAAATAGGGAGGTTATCATTGGGCCCCAGGTGGGCCCAATATAATCACAAGAGTCTTTATTTTATTTTTATTTATTTTTTGGTACATGCCCCTAGCGGGAACCAAACCCGGGACTCTCTGGTCCGCAGGCTGATGCTCCAACCGCTGAGCCAAACCAGCCAGGGCCAAAAGAGTCTTTAAAAGTGGAAGAAGGAGACAGTAGAATCAGAGAGATGGCACCAGAGAGGGAGATGGCCTGATGCTGCTGTCTTTGAAGACAGAGGACATGGCCAAAGCCTTTTTTAAAAAAAATTAATTAATTAATTATTTTTTTTTGTGGCACTCTGAGCCAAACTGGCCAGGGCCCAAAGCCCTTTTGACACCTTGATTTAGTCCAGTGAAATCCACTTCAGACTTTTTAAAACATTTTTTTATTTTTTCTTTATTGATTTTTAGAAAGAGAGGAAGGTAGAGGGAGATAGATGATAGATAGATAGATGATAGATAGATAGATAGATAGATAGATAGATAGATAGATGATAGATAGAAACTGATGAGAGAGAACACTGATTGGCCACCTCCTCCATGCCCCCACTGGGGATTTGGCCCACAACCTGGGCATGTCCCCTGACTGGGAATTGAACTGGCAACCTCTTGGTGCATGGGTTGATGCTCAACCACTGAGCCACACTGGCCAGGCGCCACTTCAGACTTTTAAAAGTTTATCTTTATTGCTGAAAATATTACATATGTGCCCCTTTCTTTCCCCCAATGATCCCCTCCTCTGTGCCCCGCCCCTGCCTTCGCTACACTATTCTGTGTCCATTGCACTTTAGACTTCTGACTTACAGAACTCTAAGATAATAAATGTGTGTTGTTTTAACTTAGTTTGTGATCATGTTAAGACAGCGATAGAAAGCTGGTACAAACTCATTCATTTAAAATAATGAATCTGCCATTTTATAAAACCGTGATTTTGAAATCTCTGGTTATATTGAATACACTATTTTGAAGCTGATGTTGACATGGGAGTAAGGCAACTGAGCAAAAGAGGAACAAGGCATGTCTTTCATTATACACCAAATAATCATTTTATTATGTTTTATTGAATTACTTTCTGATAGTTTCAAATGTATAGGTTATAAATTCTTGAAATAGTCTTTTTATGTATAGTGCTTAGCATAATGCCAAAAATGTTGCTTGAATGAGTAAATAAATGCTAATACAATTTCCTCAGTAAGACTGTAAACTTTTTGTCAGGAAACAAAACTTTTTTGTATTGATTGTAGCAATCTCATTGTTGAACGTGTGCTTGGAGCTTAATAGATATTGTTGATTAATCTGCTGCTACGGAAGACAGCATTTTTAAAAATGTTTTTATTGCTTTTTTAGAGAGAAAAACATCAATGTGAGAGAGAAACATCAATCAACTGCCTCCTGCATGCCTTCCACTGGGGATCGAGCCCGAAACAGGCATGTGCCCTGACCAAAAATCAAACCAGGACCCTTCATTCCATGGGGTGATGCTCAATCCACTGAGCCACACCAGCTGGGCAGGGTTATCCTATTTCTTAGTAGAATTCTGCCTGAAATAACTGCTCTATAATAAAAATAAAACCAAAATTGCACATTGATACATTGCTGAACCAAGAAAACAAAGATGAGGAGGAGTTCGTCAGATTATTTGTAAGGTCAGCTTAGTATTTCCATTTGGTATAATTTTATTAACTGTGGTGAACACATGTAGCAGGATGCCTCTAACTGTGGGATGCTTCCAGTCTTTAATGCCTTTATTTCCTGGTGATGTTTGAGGGACTGTTCTTTAAATTTGGTATATAGAGTTAGAGTCTACTTCTTTAGGGAGAGTGTTCAGTATTGTCACATCATGAAGCTGGGAATATTTAAAATGTTCTCACCATTGTGTTAATTTCAAACTAGGTAACACATATCCTGAGGTATTAAAGCATCAATGATTGTACACCTCTTTTATTTATTTTAATTTTTTTTCTTCTTTATTGCTTTTTTTAGAGAGAGAGAGAGAAAGGAAGAAGGAGAGAGATAGAAACACCGATGAGAGAGAACATCAATTGGTCACCTCTTGAATGCCCCCACTGGGGATCGGCCCCACAACCTGGGCATGTCCCCTGACTGGAAATCGAACCAGCAACCTCCTGGTGCATGGGTCCATGCTCAATCACTGAGCCACACCGGCCGGGTTATACACCTCTTTTAGTGGTCAGTGTATACATATTTAATTTACTTTTGGGATATTATCTGGTTCAGACATATCCAATCTGCTGGTGTCTTTAGGTGATCATTTCTGTCTGAACAGTATTTGAAAACATGGGAAATTCAACACAGTTCCTAAATATCCCCCAAATCCAAAGATCAGTCAATTATAGTATGCAGGAAGAATAGAAGGAATGAATGTTTAAGGTCAATATTTAAGGGTAAGTTTATTAGGTTTGCTCCAGTGACAACATGCTTGGCTAATGTCTCCTTTAGGTATTAGGCATAAAGTCTGATTGTCATTCATTCTAAGATTTTGAGTTCTTTGCTGTACATTAGCATTCATTGTGATAAGTACACATATCTGCAAGGTTTTTATACCTGCTTCAGCCCCTAATTCACATTACCCATCTTACACATAGCACTACCTAAAGCATGTTCTACAGACAGTTCTGATTACTTTTCTGTTTAGGCTTGGCTGCATCTATTAAATTGAAACTATTAATCAAACTTGCATGTGTTTTTAGAATAAATTTTATTAGAAAAATGCATTTTTATGTATGATAGCTATTAAATTGATCACTCTTTATTTTTAATATGTTTTTATTGATTTTTTAGAGAGGGAGAAACATCAATGTGAGAAAAACACATCTATCAGCTGCCTCCTACATGTCCCCCACTGGGGATCAAACACGAAATCGGGCATGTGCCCTGACCAGGAATCAAACCAGGACCTCTCAGTCCATGGGACGATGACTCTCAGTCCACTGAGCCACACCAATAGGTGTATCAAGCCTTAACTTCCCTTCTAAGTGTCTTGTAACATTTACATATAGTCCACCTGAGCACATAGCTCTACAGCATTAGAGCTGATGCTTCTCCAACACCAAAGATGGCCTTAAATTTAGGGTGGGGAAGTGGAAAAAGAAGTAGCATAGGAACAGTGGGAGAGGGTAGGGTAAATTGCAGGGGTATAATTGATTCTAGTATTTGCATAATTTCTTGTGGTTTAACACAAGTGTGGGGAGAAAAACTTTACCTTTAAAGGTTCTTTCAGTTGGTCTAATGATTAAATCTACATGAGACAGATTAACATGAGAAAATAACCAAATTTAATTACATATGTATGTATGGGAACCCTACATACAGGAGAGTTTCAGAAGCAAAAAAGGGAAAATAAGGTAGACATGGCATTCAGAGCTAAGGGGCTTCAGAGGGGAGAGCATCTGCAGGACATATGAGCAAATGTTTAGTAATTGGAAGTTTATCCTGCCCTATAGATAGGTCATAAGAAGTTATTTCTGGTGATAACTCCTATTATGGGCAAGGCCCCACATTTAAGTTCTTTAAGGGATAGGTAAAAGTTTCTCCTGAGCCTGAAGGGTCTGGCATGCCTTCATCTCAAAATACTTCACATGCCAAAGTAGCACATTTTGGGGAGTTCTGCTCTGAATCCCTTCAATAGTAACTTTTTTTGTACCTGCAAACAAATTTAGCACAGACACACTCTCATTTATTTATCTATATCATAGTTCTGGAGTCTGAGATACATTTACATACTTAAACACAAATATTCTGAAAGCATTGGTAATCATACTGGCTCCTATCTCAGAATTTTGTCTATAAGATAATTTTGTAAAGTACCCTGAAAATTATTAAAATAAAGTATATGAAGCTCTGCTTCACAGAATGTTTTGTATGTCTGAAATATTCATTTTAAAAAGTTATTTAAAAAACAAAATGGTTTTGTTTTGCCTTAATTTATTTCCCCCTTTCTTAAAAAAAAATCTTGGCATGTGAAACTTGAAATATTAGTAGATAATAAAAAAAACAGAATTGGGAGACTACATGCAGGGTATAAACATACCATACTAGGAAAAGTATTCAAGATAATGAAAATTACTTCTTTAGATCTCATTTAGATATAAATAGATTACTATACAAAGAACATGCACAACTGGAAATATGGATGTGAATCACTACTGTTGTGGGTTTAAAACATAGCCCACTCAAAAGCAACATCTTATAGGAATAGTTACTCAGACTTTCTCCAGACAGTAGCTGACTTATTGTTCTGACACTTTCATGGTACCAAACATTCAGGAAAAAGAAAAGTAGTAATACCACATTAGGAACATGAAAGTAAATATATATGCAAATTATATTTTCCAATATTTGTGATAAAAAATGTTTTGAAGAAAC